GTTAGGAGTGCGATCGGCGAACGATCGAAGCATAAATTCTGTCTCTCTCTCTCTCTTTCTCTCTCTCTCTCTCTCTCTCTCTCTCCCTCATCTCCCCTCTCTGCAGAAATTTTGATAGCGTTGGTAATATCGACGCGCGGATCCGATGACGACCGTAATCCATTGGCGCTTTTACGTAAACTGTAATATTTACGCACCTTTGCAAGCCCGCCTCATTGGACCGATAACCGGTAATAGCTCCCCGAAATATCGAAAATACAATTTAAACACTGTTAATACCAACGATTATCGTTATGCCGGCGGGCCATTCGTTAGAAAATCAATATCTCCCATCCCTGAGAAGTATTTTAATATTGCGTGCAACCGGCACTGAATTATCCCGACACGCAAGCATTATGCGACAATCGAGAAAAGTGATATTTCTTGCGATGTATGGAGTGTTAGATCTCTAAAATTATATATTTCTTTTTACGAAGTTTCTCTTTATGTCGTTAAATCGTCTATACTTTCCTTTTACACTATCATAAATTTAGTAATATTTTCTATTTTATTTGTCTAGATTTCCTTCATCCCTGATTTTTTCTTGCTTTCGCGCGTATTTCTTTATTTAAAATAAAAACATTATAATGTAAATTTCAAACAATTCTTTAGATATATTTTACAATAAATCGCATTTTCGAAAATAATCTTTTCGATTGTTTGTATCATAGATGACAAATAATAATTTATTTTGTACGTTTAAATACATTTTATTTTGGTAATAAATGAGAATAATAACTTTTGATTAATAAACGACAAAATTTTGCGTCTATGTCGGAAAAATCCATTTCCACTGACAATGCCGTTGTCAAACTCAGGTCAATTTAATATCATTTGACACATAAAATCAAGTCTTCCGCGAATGAGCTCCATAGACACGCAGTTTTAAGAGCCTAAGACGCTGAGTCCAAGTGCGCCTGATCGAAAGATTGGATAAGGAATCCATAAGCTCCGACGTAATCTCAGCATGTTTGAGAGCGCATTGAAATCTCAGAGGACTACCCGACGAAGTGAATTCCTTCCAACGGAGGATGAAAAGCGAGAAGAGGCGAAGAGATAGGAGGGTGAGAAAGGATAAGGACGAGCGAAGAAATCCAAGGACGAGTTTTCTACCGGTAGATCTGTTTCGATATCTCTCGACCAATGGCATTGCGACGACCGCGGGCTGTGGATTTTTGCAATTGCACCGACGAATCTCGATCAGTGTTATTTAGAAAGTGCCGACAGCGTTATATCGATCACGAATACGTCACGCCATTATGGTCGCCAATCTCTCTAGTTTCTCTCATGTTTATGTTATCGAAAGTATTTTATTGTTAACCAGGCAATTAAAATCTAAAGTTTCTTTAATTACGTAGTTTCCATTTTTATCTTCTTCCAATTTAAAAAAGCGTCAAATACCAAATATAAAAATATGTAAGATATTTTTCTCATTTGAATGTTTTTTCAATGGTAGTCAGCGCGCAAACGTAATGTCAATATGACAGCATTATTATGCATAAAATGTTCCCGACCTTCTTCTTAAAAAAACTTGGAATTTATCATTGAGGAAAAATATAATTTATCATGGTAAAAAAGCTTTAATTATTGTAGAATTTAAAAAAATAATTTCCCGATTTAATAATTAATAATGGAAATAATATAAAATTAATATCAAATATTTCAGTGATTATAAAATAATTTTATCGATTAATATCGACTGTTTATGTACTCTGTGAAATTATTCGATGAATGTATAAATTTCTAAAAAATCCATAGATTCGATAACTAAATAATAACTAGATGGTTTATGTTATATTAGGGCTAAATAATATATACACATTATATGCTAGAAAAATCAAATATTAAATCCATTATGATATTATTATAATAATGCAATATTTGAGATGCGGACATTTTTAATATATGAAATTTTAATATCAGATATAATAAGCAAAGTGTGACACAATTTTCACATTTATCTCTCAATATAATAAATTCCAAATTCTTTCAAAGAATGTTGTCGTTTATGATTTAATGGTTCATAATCTTTCTGTTCAAACGATTGAAGCTGATCATTAATCAAATGAACAAAATTAACTTCGTAAATTGTATAGCAAACGAATAAAAAACAGCATGCATCTCGCGGCTTGACAGAATCACAAATACCATCGGTGTTTCGAAGTAAACTACATCACGTCCGGCTGCAATTGGACTCTTTTCCTTTTACGATCCAGTTCACGGTATTGTCTCAAGAACAACGGAGCTATCGCAAACTAGCCAGCTGTTCGGCTCATTCCATTCGTTCCCGCGACTTGCAGTGTGTATCGGATTATGGAGACTACTAAAAATGAGCTTTCTTCACAAAGTCTTATACGTTTATCGTTCTTTTCATTTCTATAAATATAATTGACGGTACATAATCTGATATAAAACAAACATATCAGTTATTGCTCCAAAATTGTCACATGTTCAAATATAATCTCTTAAAGTGAATTTAAATACACTTTGCTCTTTCATCTCATGTTTCATTGTATCATTATATTCTATAAAAAACATCATTTAATAAATGATATTTGCCATCTTTGTTTATCCATCTTTGTCTCGTCGACAGAGATTTATTCAGAGAGCGTTTCATTGCTATTTATATTTCTATGGATATAAAGTAAACACTATTTATTGCGTGTCACACTAGTTGCGCAAACGATATTTGAGGTGTCTCGTGCCAGACGATATATGCAAATATCGTCTCACCGCGATGAGATTTATTCATAGGCGAGCCGCGTATCCATGCGGCCTTCCGCGCCGGAAGCTCTGCGGCCTCTCCGCACCGTCGCGTTGCATCGCATCGCATCGGTAACGCTCGCTTGACGTGAAATTGTTCTAACGAACTTATACTCGAGCAAAAGTTACGTCCAATTCGTATATGCATGTATGTACACGTATACGCTCTACACAAAGGGAGCCGCGCCGACCGCGCTCGTTTGGAGTTTGGCGGCAAAATCCGGCGCCGACTTCCTCGCGCGTTTCGCCCGTCGCACAAACCGACTTCAATAAATCTATCTTAGCATATACATGTATACGAAGACTAAAGAGTAATAGGGGAAACGGACAAACTCCCTACCTACATCGCGAAACATGGAGAATAAGAGAAACAACTCTAAAATGAGATGGAAAATGCCCAAACTATACGAGTTGTTTTGCGTAATATCCGTTTAATATAAATCGGAATAGCCACAAAATTACGTAATAAAATTACGTGACTTTAAAATCAAACATTTTCAAGATTTAGAAATTTAATCTTATTTCTTGATTAAAATTTTAAATAGATTTTATGAAATTTTAGTCCGAGTGACTTGATTAATGTCAAATTCAAGTATCGCGGAGTAAATAGTATTTTTATATAATCGAAATATATATAAGATTTGAGATTCGCATAACAAATTAACGTATCTATAAAATAACAAAAGGGAATAGTTTTGTTTCGGTCAAAGTGTCTTTGTTGATTCGCGAAATCACCAAAATGAATTAAATGACATTAATCAGCTGATTCACCGATATGCGATACCGTGATGGGATAATATCGTATATCAGCGAAATGCGTACGCTAAATCGATATTCCTCGTATAATTAATGATAGCTATATTATACGCGTGAAAAATAGCATTTGGTAAACAGCTTATGCAAAACACGTGTTTTGATACGCATTTAAATTATCATTTTTGGCTCGAATTGCTCCAACCTGCGGTATTCGTCAGAATTCATACGTGGGAGGTACATCATGATATTAATGACGTAGTTAAGAGGCACAAACTGCAACGTCTTGCATCGTATTTCATAAATAGAACATTAGCAATTCGTTGGACACGTTTGTTGAAAGCTGCTGTTTATAAAATAATATCAAAGGCCGCGCGCGCGTGTGTATAACACATTTCACGAAACAAATAAATGATTTAGGTAATTTTGCCAAGTCTTAAAGCACTGCAGAGAAAATAGAAATTGTTCGGTAATCATTTCTGACAGTTTCGAAAAACATGCACGCTATTTGCAAGTTGTTTCTAAATATCGCCACATATCTATATATTTAACCGAATAAAAAAATAGTGTACCTTTTAATATACCTTTTGTTATATGGAAAAAGACCCTGCGTATATCGTATTTGAAATTTTATCACGTATTCTCTTTAGATACATTAAATTAACGGTTATCTTTATTCGTACGTGAAATGTAATAATTGATATTACTGTTGTACCCAGCGGCTGGCCCTGATTGTCCCTCAACATTTCCCCAAGAAACAATGCGCGTGCATTGCACTTGTGCACGACTGTCCCGACGGTGGTCCCTTATACTTGTCGGAAACAATAGGCATTATGTACCGCGGCACACGCTCGACAACGGCTTCCCTCCCGACTTGTTCGAACTAGTTATAACCGCTGTTCTCTCCTACGTGCCGCTGACGAGGAGAGCAACAATTACGTTAATGCATTGTCCCGTGTTCCGTCGCTTAACGACTCGGCGCCCCATCGACGTTTTGCACTCTCGCAGATTGAATTAAATCGAATTACAGGAAGTCGCACGTTAAAATCATTGTCACGTGAATTGCAGTGTCGCAGTTATCTTATAATTCATCGTCTTGCCCCAAGTCGAATTAAGCACCTCGATTGTGGCACGACGCGCTAAGCGCTCCGAAATTTCGTCGTCACGCGCGACAAATTTAGATAAGTTAGAGATAAAAATTGATTTTTTAACCTTTACGATTTCCTACATGTACATGTCTCGACATATCAAAACTCGTTTTTGCTCATCGGTCAATTATTAAGTTTCGTCCATTCATCTATTTTGAACGGACGTAAAAATAATCATTTTTCCAATACAAAAATATCGGCCCTTTCTCGGATATAATATGTATCTCGGATACGTATAATATGTATATAATTAATTGATCGATCCCTGTCGCATATTTGAAATCAGAATCTACTCACCGGTGTCGTTGTCTCCTGGAACCCCGAGACTGTCGCTATTGTCATTGATGAAGGCCTCCGCCGTTGACGTGAAGGTTTGAGGTGATAGCGTGAGGTCCGGTCCGCTCTCACTATCAAACAATTCCAAGTTTCCATTTCCTGAAACACGAAAACAAAACATTGCCAAGATCAGCTTCAAGTGCGCAAATATTTTATGCGAGTAAAATCAGTTAGCTTCGATTGTAACATATGATCGATAGTTAAAATTTACTACCTAGTTCTCTATCGTAAATAAATTTACTAATTAATTAATTCTATCATAAATAATTAATCGTTAGAAATATTCGTTAGAAACTAATTTTCAAAGATGATTCTTACTCGATCGACATACTAGCAACGTCTTTGTATAATCTTGGAATGCTATCAAGATGATGTGGACATAAAATTACGTGTAGGTCGATTGACAGACTACGACTGACTGAAATCCCCACTCCGAACTCCCCACTCCCAACGCCGATCGACTCAATGCCGGCTTGCGAGACCTTGTTATTGATGAGTGTCAACAAACGAACAAGACACTTCACGCGTCGAATTTCTACACACTATTCTACCGAAAATAATCTGCTCAATAAGCAACACGTATACGAATTATGTTTCAATTATGTTTATGTAATATTTTCACAATTATGATTATCGATTCTTTTATGTAGTATCTAATATATATTATTTATAGAAACTTTCAGAATTTCTATTTTATTCAACATTTTCATACTTGTATATTTTTAACATATTATTAAAAATAACATATTTTAACATATTATTAAAAAATAGAAAATAGATATTTTATAAGAAATAAAAGTAACTTAATATATGTATTAATGCAAGTATTTAAACAAGAACCTAAAAAAACGGAGCAAAACTTTACGGATTCTGAAGGAAAAAAAGAAATATCCCAATTATTTTGTTTTACAAATTTAAGAAAAATTCTTTAAAATATATTACATATACATATATCTGTAAAAATTCAAAAATATCTATATATTTTCACTTATTAGCACGCGATAAAATTACGAGAACTAAACGAGAATTTCTCAGCTGCACCAGAACAGCATAGCTTGCATATCTTTCGCATATCTCTTCGCCACTACACTACAACAACGCTAGAGCACACTTGAAAGATCTCACAGACAGTGAAGATCTCTCGAGATTCTGGATGGTTCCTGCGATACCCTACCAAACTTTGTGCATTTTAGGGTATTAATCAATCTCACTTACATTAAGTATAATTCCAGTCTTGTTTCTTGATTAACGATACTTTGGCCAAACCGATCGCGTAAGATAATCATCCGCATAATGTAATTATTCCGAATATGCACATAACCATTTAATATTAATAATCATTTAATCATTTAATTTTGTGATTAAATTAAATTAACAAATACAAACAAAGGAATATAAATAAAAGGAATTCAATACTTAAATAAGCAATAAATTTTAAATGCAATAAATTTTAGAAATTTCTCAATATTAATATGCATTTATTAAATATAAATAATTTTTGAATATAAATTTTTATTTATTTATTTTCTCAATATACAAGTAATTAAAATTGATGTTTCATAAAGCTTTTGTGTAGAATTTTGAAATTATTTATCAAATTACACTGATATCGATAAATTATTTCGCACTTTTTTTTCTGTATATATAAATTTTAAAGATTGCTATTACTTAAATAAAATTTATACAAGCGCCATGTATTCACTGTAGGGATAGATAAAATGAAGAATACTCTTAAAAGACATACCCTGTAAAAGCCTGATTACGATCGATAAAACAACCGGAATCGGTAAAAGAGAAAAGGCACGCATTTCTATTCCGTTCGATGAAGAATGGGAGATTAATCCGGTACGATTTTATGACTTATTAAGATTCAAAGGACGTATTTGGCGAACGCGTGACGACGCAAAAGGAATATAGCATCAGTAGCGTCTTCCATTGCGATTCGTTTCGACGTGGCAAGTACGCGGCAAAGTTACGACATACTCTCGAAGCACCGCGCGACGAATGGCCCCCGTACTCGTACCCGTAAATATTTGACGACAATTTGATCTGCGAGAGTCGAGACTTAAATCCCCCCGAGGGTACGCGGACGAAAGCGGCTTACGGAAGCTCCGTCGTCTCTATGACTCTTCGACCATTCCTCTCATCATCATCGGGCTTACACATCTCCAGATTCGCGGAAAATATATCGTAAATATCGATACACAATGCGAACGTTGATTCGGTCGAGTAATATTGTCTAGAGGATTTTTTTTTATCGATATATCCTCTAATAAACCTTAACAATAACGCGAAATCGCATTCTCTCAGATCAGTCAATTAACGTTGTGCAGTCGATAAAATAGCGATATAATAATAATTCGTACATGGTGGACAAATGGTTTCTGCGAAAACCTCAAATAGTTATTGGCTTTATATTGATATTTATTTTATATACGATAATAATATCGACACGCATATTAATCTCAATATGTTATAATATTGCATAATAATATTATATATAGTATATACATATCTACATATACACATGTCAATGATATTACATGCATTTATTCGAGTTTTATAACAGCTTGTTAAAAAAATGTTGAAAACAAATTAACTCTTAATCAAAAAGCATTTTTTTTTTTTCAAAAATGTACGCTCAAAATAACAAAGTGAGACAGAATGCTATGACATAATCTGAAGCGACACTTATTTATCTCCGCGTTAATATGATTGATACTGATACATTCCACTTCCCCGGAAAGCAAATTAGTCACTGGGATGGAGACATTCGAGGAATAATCCCACGTTAGCGACATAGTTCCTCGCCCTCGTTCTCCACTTACGTCGTTAAAGTGCGCATCCAGCTGTACCGAGAGAACGGCCATGCGAGGTCGAAGAGGATGAAAGAGAGAGAGAGGGAGAGAGAGAGAGAGAGAGAGAGAGAGAGAGAAGAGGGCGAGGGAAGGAGAGAGGAAGAGAAAACGCATTAACATACCTGCAATATGCATGCAGGGTGGTGCACTTGTCCGATTCGACGTTGCAACGCGTGCGGGGGCTTACACAGGAATATTCGCGTTAATTCAAAGCGATGGTATGCGCCCGCCGCGGATTAATATATTCTGGATTATCCGTCTGTGTTTGCGTTAATGCTCGCGCCGTTGGGTTAGTTAAATATGTAAATATAAGCGGCATGCGCGCAACGGCTACGCTGGCGGACGTTATGCCTAGTTACAACGTCGACGTGTGGCAGAATGACGAAAGAGGGTGATTGCGATCGCGCTTACAAAAAATATGCGATGTGACGAAGGATCGGATATTGATGCAAATTAAGCGTCAAAAGCCTCGCACGTATATTCACCCTCTCGAATGCAATCAGCATAAATTAAGAAATTCGAGCTTTCTTGAATATTATACAACGCGGAGAAATAATATATATACGTTATATTTAAAATTGAATATTAATGACGAAGATGATTTTAGACTTTCAAATAATAAGATGAGAGATAGACGCTAAAGGTAAACGCTATACAACATATGGTCTTCGCGCAAAATAAAATGGAGAAGTCTGCATACACGAGAGAGAGAAAGAGAGAGAAAGCTAACGTTACAGTTTGAAATTAAATTTTTGTTCCCTTCGCCACCTATTAATCATCGTAGCGATACATTTAGCTTCGAAGAACGGGAGTATTACCGCGGCCTTCTGCAAGTAATAAAGGGAGGATTACGCGGCGCGTAATGGAAAATGGCAGTTGCGCAACATCTTTCGAAAGAAAGCGCGAAAGAAAAATGCAATTCTCTCGCCGTTGTTATTAACATCAAGCCGGTGGCCGGTGTTGCTTATCAGAGTACATATTATGAATGTATTTTGCAGCTAGCATGCAACACGTAGTGCTTGAAGCATAGACCTCGCGATTAAGTCGAGTTACGTTTGAAGGCATCAAGATATATTAAAATATTTCCTCCCTCCATATAATATTTAATACGCTACGTAATATATAGATAATAATTTAAATGATGGAGCGTGTTGTGCGCTCCGTAACAATTTTCCAATAACACAGCGCCATTCTCTATAGAATACTGAAATAACAGGGGAAAATTTATTTAACCGGAGCTAGCGCTAAACGACGTCGGTGCAGTCAGGCATGAGAGCCATTCGCGCGGGGCGAGAAAGCGACGAGGAACGAGGAGAGAGGAAGCCGCACGACGTTGATCGCTGCCGGCGCGAGAAAGGGGCGGAAGAGAGGCACCGGATGAGCGAGAGGGTGGGTTGCGAATCGGAAACCCGGGCGGCGCAACCGAGTTTATTCACAGCGCGCGCGAACGAACCCGACGAAGCCCAGATATTAATTTTCTCGATGTATATGGATGAGTCCTGACTAGGCCACGGGAGGAAAACGAACGAAGCGGGAAGGCTGGCAAGAGGAAGGAAGGAAGCAGCGGCGGTGGCGATGGTGGACGTACCTGGGCGGCGACGACCAGGGGACGCCGGGGAGGAGGATGATGTGGTTGTGCACCATCGCCGCCGCCGGGAGGTGTTCGTTCAGAACGGCGAGAAGGGTGGCTAAATTGCTATCGATCTTCCAGCCACGCAAATATCGTTTACCTTGCAGCGCTCATCCACGATCCTTTCGCAGCCGTGTCCCTCTCTCCCTCTCACCCCTTTCCCCTCGCCGTCGACGCATTACGCGAATATGCGTTATCAGTTTGATGGAGATCCCCGGCTCTTCCTATCACCGATTCTGATAGCTCGACCCGTCGATCGGTTAATCCTCGCGTTCGCGTATCCGTCCAGCGTGCCAAAATTCGGCGCTGGTATATCGAGTTGAATGTTTTTAACGTTCGATTCTCTCTCGCGAAACTTCGGCGCGAGATGGACGCGTTACATTTCAAACATGAACATTACGTATCAAACATTCAACGATATCAAGGATTTTCTATAAAAATATTCTCAATATAAAAATCCAAAAGAGTGTGTGCGATAATATATAATTATTAAAAATAACGATAAAATAATAATGTGCATATATACGAAAAATAACATTTTTTCATTGAATTTTATGCGTTACTGGCGTGAGATGATAATAAATGTATAAAGGTAATAATAATTGCGAAAT